CACAAATGAAGATATTTCTGATGGAATCTGAGAGCTGTCTGACCCTGCATAGACAGCAACGCAACTGAAATGTTCCCAAGTCCAGAGACATAGCAAGGAGATCTGTAAAATAATCCATGTGACATCAGGTGTTGAACCGTAATTATACGAAGATACGAGAATACTTTTTGTGCACAAAAGAAAAGAAAAAAAAAGACTTTATTCAACAATTTGTCTCCTCCGAGTCACCCTGTAGCTTCATTCTGGAGAATATCCGCTGGACATAAACAGCGTATGCTGTTCTGTGTCAGCTGCATCACACGGATACGCTGTTTTCGTTCAGATCAAATCACAACAACGTACGAAACAGATCCGGTGTCACGCAGCTGACACAGAACAGCATACGCTGTTTATGTCCAGCGGATATTCTCCAAAATGGCGCTACAGGGTGACGCGGAGGAGACGAATTGTTAAATAAAGTCTTTTTTTTTTTTCCTTTTGTGCACAAAAAGTATTCTCGTAGCTTTGTATAATTACGGTTGAACACCTGATGTCACATGGATTATTTTACAGATCTCCTTGCTAAGTTTCTGGACTTGGGAACATTTCAGTTGCGTTGCTGTCTATGCAGGGTCAGACAGCTCTCAGATTCCATCAAAAATATCTTAATTTGTGTTTCGAAGATGAACGAAGGTCTTACAGGTTTGAAACGACTTCATTTTCATTTTTGGGTGAACTATCCCTTTAAGCACACTTCTTTTTCACACGGGTATAAATGGATAGATACTGACAATGATGAAACATCAAACATGAGATCACAGATTAAAAAAAAAAGAGGAATTTATTATGAGGACCTGTTTATCCCTTTTGGTGGCATTTTCCCTCCATGCTAAAGTTAAATTTTAAGAGTGAGGCTGCAAGTTTACCTATGAAGGCATTGGGGATGGTGATCTTTAGCCACATTCTGTCCCGCACCTCCAGGCCTGACTCTGGAGATGCCATTGCTTTGGCTACTGCTGCCATGTCGCTATGGATGGACAGATGGAAATCCTCGAACCCTGCAGAGTAAAGCTCAATGAGATGGTGCACAGCAGTCTACAGATATGAGTTAACTTACAAAGACGTGCTCTGAACATCAAGATGTTGTAGCCGTTATCAACTGATCTAGGAGGAGTTTCTGATTTCTCAGACATCACAAATCAATCTAATTTCCCCTGTGAAAAAGAGGTGTGCTTAATTGTATTTAATGTGCACTTGTAGTGTACTTTAAATCTTAAAAGTACACTTTCATGACTCTCTTAACACTTAAGTGCTCTTTGTAATAATGTCAAATTAAAAGTTTTAATTTAAAGTGCATTTAAAAAATAGTTTTAATAATCTTTTGTCATGCTTTAAAGAAGTACACTTACTTTGATGTGTTGACTAACATACTAAAGCATACTAATACAAATGTAAACTATAATACATTTTTTTAAATTGTAAATAACATGCAATTGTGTATAAACATTACATTCAGTTCATAGTAATAGATTCTCTTATTTTTAGTATTTTATATGTAAAAGTATTCTAAAGTGTACTTCTTTTTCACAAGGGCTGTACAGCCTAATTTTTAGTGTATAATTTACTGCATGTATTTTGTTCAAGACTACTCACAAATCTTTAATTTTCATTTGACCAACTCAGTTGGTAAGGGCTACGGTCACAACACAGTAAGCAGTGGGTTTGCAGATGAAGTCATCCTCTGGCGACAGACGGCAGGCACAGCAGAGGTGGATTATGGGAAGGGTGGGTGGATAAACACTTACGCTCAGTCTCTGGAATGGAGCTTGTGATGGAGGAGCTGGTGGAGGTGATTGTGCTCATGGAAGGGCTCATACCGTACACTGGGTACGCCCCCGTCATAGCGGCAGTGTGAGACACCCAGGCAGCAGGGTCTATGGGACGGATCGGCTCACCTGAACAAACACAGGGGGAGTAAACGGATGCCTGGTCACTTTAGATGCTACCAAAGAGGTCAAAAACAGTAATGTTTTAATTTTAACTATGAAAGTGAAATGGTTGCGAACAGCACTTCATGTTTAAAAGAATAGTTCACCCAGAAATTAAATTTACTCACCCTGAGGCTATCCAAGATGTAGATGAGTTTGTTTCTTCATCTGAGAAATTCAGCATTAAATCACTTGCTCACCAATGGATCCTCAGCAGTGAATGGGTGCCGTCAGAATGAGAGTCCAAACATCTGATAAAAACATCACAATCATCCACAAGTAATCCACACGACTCCAGTCCATCAATTAACGTCTTGTGAAGTGAAAAGCTGCATCTTTGTAAGAAACGAATCCATCATTGAGACATTTTAACTTTAAACAATCACTGCTGGCCAAAATTCAAGTCCATAATCCATAAGAACCCATCCTCCAGTGAAAAAGTCCATTCCCTCTCACAACAAAATCCACTGACATATTTGTTTAGAATTTTTTGGACTGTTTTCAGAGCTTGAACTTTTTAAGACGTTTTCACTGGAGAAAGCAATATTATGGATAGAAGAGCGATGGTCTGAAGTTAAAACTGTCTTAAATGAGGATTTGTTTCTTACAAACACGCAGCTTTTCACTTCACAAGATGTTAACTGGTGGACTGGAGTGGTGTGGATTACTTGTGGATTATTGTGATGTTTTTATCAGACTCTCATTCTGACGGCACACATTCACTGCAGAGGATCCATTGGTGAGCAAGTGATTTAATGCTGAATTTCTCAGATGAAGAAACAAACTCATCTACATCTTGGATAGCCTCAGGGTGATTTCATTTTCATATATGCGCCAACTATTTCTTTAATAGCACTGTAACGCAGTAGCTCTCTTACTTCGTGGGAGGGCGAAACAGCTACGAGGGTTTGGATCCCAACATTTGGCCACAGTCAGTGTGATGGGTCTGTAAATGTGAACATACACAAAAAAAACATCAGTGCTGATATAAATCTCATTTAGTCCATAATGAGAGCACGGGACATCACAAAGCCCACTTCTTACCCAGGTTTATGGACAATCTCTCGTAGCACCCTCACTGCATCATCATTACTCATGTTCTCAAAGTTGATATCATTCACCTACAACAAAACAAGCAACTCTTAGAAATCACAAACAGCCACCATGATCAGGAATATCTTACAGTATAAATCAAACCTGCAGAAGCATGTCACCAGGCTCAATGCGTCCGTCAGCAGCCACCGCACCGCCCTTCATGATGGAGCCGATGTAGATTCCTCCATCGCCCCTCTCATTACTTTGCCCGACTATACTGATGCCCAGAAAATTATACTTCTCTATAGTAAGGGGGAGAGAGAAAAACAAAATGGAGAGATGAACAGCAGACTATAGATTTAGTAATGTGAGAATGCAACATTTTTATTTTAAACTTTTGTTAAAATGTAAAAAGAAAAGAACACCAATCCCCACTTTCAGTTGTTTTTTTAATTTGTTTTTTTTGTTTGCTTGATTAAACAGTCTCTGGTAAAGATTTTGTGCTATTGGATCTTGGATTTCAAGCAGTTAATACTTGTATTCAGCAAGGATGCATTAAACTGATCAAAAGTGACAGTAAAGACCTTTATAATGCTACAAAAATGTATATGTGGCCCTAGACCACAAAACCAGTCATAAGGGTAAATTTTCTGAAATTGAGATGTATACATCATCTGAAAACTGAATAGATAAGCTTTCCATTGATGTATGGTTTGTTAGGATAGGACAATATTTGGCTGAGATACAACTATTTGAAAATCTGGAATATGAGGGTGCAAAAAATCAAAATATTGAGAAAATCACTTTTAAAGTTATCCAAATGAAGTTCTTAGCAATGCATATTACTAATCAAAAATTAAGTTTTGATATATTTACAGTAGGAAATTTACAAAATGTCTTTATGGAACATGATCTTTACTTAATATCCTAATGATTTTTGGCATAAAAGAAAAATCTATAATTTTGACCCATACAATGTATTTTTGGCTATTGCTACAAATATACCCCAGCGACTTAAGACTGCTTTTGTGCTCCAGGGTCACATATTTCAAATAATTGCTGTTTTTAAACCTTCAGTTTATCAAATATTATCACAGTTTCCAGCAGAAAATCAGCATATTAGAATGATTTCTGAAGGATCATGTGACACTGAAGACTGGAGTAATGATGCTGAAAATTCAGCTTTGATCACAGAAATAAATTACATTTTAAAATATATTAAAATAAAAAACAGTTATTTTAAATTGTAATAATATTTCACAATATTACTGTTTTTACTCTATTTTTGATTAAATAAACGCAGCCTTTGGTGAGCATAAGACTTATTTCAATAACACTAAAAAAAACTACTCCAAATGTTTAACCGGTAGTGTATTTAAAAGTACACTACAACTCGATTTGTGCACTGTTAAAATTCACTGCCATGAAGCCTGTCTGTAACACAGATGGTTCAAATCGACTTACACATCAACGTTTAATACTTTTAATAATATAACTTTTCACAATCTAATTAAATCCAGATGGAAGGCTGAAATCCTGCTCTACATTTCTGTTCGTGTCTCATTACTAAATGTGGTTAGTGAATGTCATTCATGTTGTCTTTAACAGAGTGGTGCAGACACACAGATATACATGTGCACATACTCACCCATGTTTAATGTGACAGTTATGATGTTCAGAGACATGGTGGAGTCAGTTATGCTGCTGAACGACGAGGACTGGAGAGATCGAGAGAAAGAGAGCGAGAGATGAGGACACACTTAAAGAGACAAACCTTCAACACTGATAGCCATGAGGTTTATCTGGAGTCTCACCCTCTCCATTCTGGGTGCTTTGGGTTTCTGTCTGCGGTGGCGATGGCGTCTCATGAGACGTGACGATGTGCTCTGCTCCGTAGAGCTGCTGAACCTGTAGCAGCATCACAGATGACACACGATCTTCAAAACATCATATTCAGCCTGAAAATGGCTTTTGTGCACATATAATGCACATTACAGTCCTCTCAGCTCTGATTGGTCCTGAGAGTCACGTGATGCATACCAGCCAATCGTCTGCATTAGTGTAGTAGTGTATCAGAGCATGGAAAACCTTGCTTTGTGTTGGCTTTCCAGAGCATGTGATTTGAGTGTACATTAAGTCATCTTCATGAGGAGACGATATGAGGGGCCATAAGCTACAATTAACATGTATAGTTCAAACATATCTCTGACTCTTACGATTATACTCAATCTTTTTGTATATATAACTTTATAATGTCCATATTCAGATGACCTCTGTTAAGATTGGCCTCTTTACATGTGAAAAATATCAGCATAGTTCACACTGTCATTAATCAAGATGGGGCATAGGTCATAGGTTTTATTATCTTGATGCAAAAATACTTTGGACTCTTAAAAACTATTCGGATTCTTAAGATTTTTTGGCATTTTTACATTATTTTCAGGACCATCAAGCTCATCCTGACCTTTTAATTCTCATTACGGTAATGCAAACTACAGAGTGTCATTCTTATTATTGTAACATAGAAAATAAAAATTAACATTTTTAAAAAATATATATTTTTTTTTAATTAAAAAAAATATTAGTGCTGTCAAACGATTAATCGCGATTATTCTTTTTATTTTGGATGCGATTAATCACGATTAATCATTTGACAGCACTCATTTTTATTTGAATAAGAAATCATTGTAAAACTAGTACTTTGTACAGTAATACAATAAAAATGGACTGTATTACTGTAATGAACATCATTGTTAAAAACGATGAGAAAGAAATTAATAGATTTTTAAAAATCATTGCGAAATAGTATTTGCACTGTAATACAATAACACTTGGACCTTATTACTGTAATAAATATTACTGCTAAAAATAATGTGAAAAATTCATTTATTTTGCTAAAAAAAATCAATGCAAAACTGTCTATTTTGTACTATAATGCAGTAAAAAAATACTGCATTACTGTAACAAAAATCAGCATTAAAAATAATGAGAAATTTATTTTACTAAAACATATTACAAAATAGTATTCTTTACTGAAATACAATAAAAAAATGGAGTGCATTACTATAAAGAAAATAATTTGTAAAAAATAATGAGAAAGACAATACCAGATGCACTACAATAATGTGAACTGAGGCAAATTGTCCTGAAATTGTAAACAATTCTCAGGATGCTAATAGTACAGTAGATTAAATTTACTTGCAAAATATGACGTTTTTCTCTCTTTACAGTCTGACTGACATGTAAACTGACTGACCGTTGTGCAGTTTAAAGACAGGTTTATTAGAAATCATAGATGCCACAATAGCAGACTGGCAAGGGAAAAATAACTTAATATAAATTACTGCACAAATTGTCTCCACTAATGGCTGGATAACAGAAAAACTGTGCATGGAAAAAAATGTAAAATGTAAGGACCTAATTTAATGGCTTTTTCTGTTTAACAGTCTGGTTCGATTGGGAAGGGCGCTTTGCACTGTTAAAGTTCTGTCTACATAGTACATCAGATTAGGGCTGGGCGATATGGCCAAAAATATGATCACAATATCTTTTTCCATATCAAATGATATTGATATTTATCACAACATATTAGGAAATGCTTTCCACATTTTGTTAGACCTTGACTATGAATGTAAACATAACTTTTCAGTTTGTTTACAATTAAACTCCACAGAGTAATCTAACTTTTAATTTAGGGCCCTATGAAATCCATTTTATTTTCCCATAAATTATTTTATTTTTGTTTTGTTTAGTCACCCTCCCCCCCCATTTTTTTTTTTTTTTCGGGATTCTGTGTTTTATGATTTATTACAAATGTATCATCAAAAATGAAATACATTTTAAAAGTTTTAGCAATTTAATCAATCTTTTAAAATGTAATCAAATGAAAATACAACAATTAATTTACAACAAATCATTGCATTTTTATTTTTTTGTCAAATAAGATGCTGCATACAGAAATGTATAAATTAAAATATGAATGAAAAAATATCTTGGTTGCATGAATTTCCCTTAAAAATAATGATATTATTATTTTGAGAAGTAAAACATACAATAGTAATACATGTACGTCATAATTTCTTCAAGTTAAATCAAACTTTTATTTTGGTGGTTTGTCGTGAAGATCTTTGAGCTGCATGTTTGTATTTGATGGTAGTTTTTCTCAAATTAAACTTAAAGTGAAGTGACTCTCAGAGCAGATGAAATTCATGTGTTTATGTCTGCATATATTGAGACGACAGATGTTAAAAACACAGTGAGCATCACGTGTGTTTGTGTTTGTGTAGTAGACCAAACTACACAGACTTACTAGCAACATGCACTGACTGGCTGTTGTCGTGTTTATTTCTGTTCTTAGAATAATCTACATAGAGTAAAAATGTGACCCTGGAGCACAAAACCAGTCTTAAGTCGCTGGGG